GAGATTAAGGAACATAAGGATGTTTAAACCACATGTTAATTGATAGATTTTAATTTTATTTTTTATTATTATTATGGGGGTGTTTGGGATTGCTTATTTAAAACAAATTTTTTTTTTGTAAAAGTGGTTATTAACTTATGTGGTGTTAAACACGAAGTTTTACAAAAATTGGCTGGATTAACTTATGGCGGCACCAAAACGCAATAAGCTAATAAGTTGTTTTTCAGTGTTTGACAAATTTTGCTTATACATGTAAAATGACAAAAAATAGCATTATTACAGATACCATCAGATATATGAGAAGATCGATCTCAGAAACTTCAATATTTAATCGACGAAACCCATATTCATGACCAAATTTACGAGCATTTCCACCGGGCGGAAGTTTTTTTCGATCCCTCTGGTGGTCTTTGATGGATCTTCTCATATATCTGATGGTATCTTTCTGAGATCGATCTTCTGGTTTGTAAAAAAAGTGAAAAGGGTTAAAAGTAAAGGGTATTAGAAAATGGTTAAAAAGGTAAATCGTTAATAAGTTGAATTTGATAAGTTATGGGGGGATTGACTTATCAAAAACTGCTTATTACCGGTTTGGCACCGGTATAAACAACTTTTTTTCTTCCCCATCCAAACACTTAAAATGACTGATTACCGATACCACACCGGAATAAGTCAATAAAGAGGTTTTATAAGCATATAATGTTAAACTTTTTTGATTCATATAACAAAATATAAATATCTTAGTTAAAAAAAATATCTACATTAGATGATGGTTTGCATGTAACTTTTACATATAATATAGATAAAAATAAAAAGTTGATCAACCTTACATATCTTGGTTGATTAAAATTTCTCGAAAAAATAATTAAATTAAATATTTTATTAAAATATTTATGAAAGTTTATTATTTATGAAATAAAAGAGATATAATTTGAACTTTTATGTAATTTACAAAAAAAACATCTTTTAAAGTTGTTATAAATTTGAAACATAATTTAACATCATAATACTTGGTTTCATAAAAAGATAATCATTGTAATATACTTTTTTTTTTGGGGAAAAAGTTGATTTACTAGCAATCTCAATGTATCACATGGAACCTGTTTCCAAGGATATCAATGTAGAAGATATTTTTTGACTTAGGTGTCGTTTAGCAAACGTTTATTTGGGTAAGTGTTTACCAACTAACATTATCTCACTGTATGAATATGGTAAAGATCAAGAATCTTATTTGGTAAGAGCGAGATAGGGACCAAGAGTCTTACCCGGTAAATGAGGGCGACGACTCTTATCACGGTAAGCGTTTACTGGGTAAATTGTTACATACGATGTCATTTTGGTGGACTAAAAAATCTTACCCGATAAGTAAATAATAATGTTATATTTTACCGGTAAACATTTACTGGATAAATGTTTGGTAAACAACCCGTTATTTAACGAATGTAATTAATATCAATCAATGGTGGAATGCTCCTTGAACCCAAAAAAGAAAAGAAAAAAGACAAGGTAAATAATGTGTCAACAAGTATAGTTTTATCCTATGCTATTACCATTATTCAACAATGGTTGTTTTTTCATTTTCAGCTCTTAATAATTATTTATGTCTTATTTATTTAGATGGTTTGTAATTCAAATTGTTTTTTTTTCCAGAACCTCTTATCACTTAATAGGATCTGAATAAATAAGAGGTAAACTAATATTTTAATTCATCTTATTTTCTTTTTTCTTTGATTCTCTTTGGCTATTGTTTCTTTCTCCAGTAGGAACGTCACCGTCTTTTCATCACCCATGTGAAATGCACACCCCCACCTTTTTTCTCTATCTCTCTCTCTCTCTCTCTCTATATATATATATATATAATTTTTGTATGTATAGGTTAGCTTAGAAGATTCATGTGAAACAAGAACTTCTATCGACGATCTACCATCTATCAAAAGTAATGATATTTCCATAAACAAACTCACTAACGGCATTCCCGATAGCATTAAAAGTCTAAAAGGTATACAAAAGGTTCTACTGTTTCTATCTGTTAAGCAATTGTTGAAATGAATTCCGGCAAAAAAATTTTTATATAAATCAAGAGAATTTTACAAAATGTTTGCACATGATTTTACAAAAACAAACTATTGATTCAGATTTCAAACTTTAGACGTTTGTCAATTGATAAAAAACGAACAGTATTATTGATTTAGATTCAGACTTCAGCATCACCTCGTATTAATCAGAAGTGAAATATGACTTCAGATTTCAACACCTCTTAAAAAACAAACACCGCCTAAATCCGTAATTAACTCTTAAATTTATCATTAAAAAGAAAGAGAGTAATATTTAGTCATCAAAGCCGTCTTTGACAAACTTGTTAAAGACCTAGTTGCTGACTAATAAGCTAATTGACAAACTAAATACGTTTGACAAAAACTAGCTGATAAACTAATTGGTCCCTAAATTTTATTATTACAAAAAAGGACTCGTGGTATATTGTTTTGTGACGAGTTGGCCCTCACTTTAACGACCAGAGTTATCATCCCCTTTATTTGTTTTTGTTTTTTTCCCTCAAGGATCAATTTCATAAAAACCACTTTGTGCACATGCATGTGCGTGCGCGCACACACACATATAAAGTTGAGTTTCGACGAGAAATAGAGTTAAGGTGATAAGCGTAAGTATGAATCTTTACCTTTGGATGCACATTTGGATGAGATGCACCTGATTAATCCCTGTATCAAACGCAAATCATGTGGATTTGAGATTAAAGATGATCGAGGATCCAGTTTTTTTCTCACGCTTCTTAACTTAACTATTTTTTTGACACGATCATTTGCCTATATATATGTGTATATATATAGTGTGGTTCAGAGGAAAATTATCTTCATCAATCATTACATTAATTGATTTAACGGATTTGATTAAATGTACGTTTACAACAATATCCTTTAAATTAAAAAACCTCACATCGCATACTTTTTATTCAAAAAAAAAAAAATATATATATATATATATATAAACAAAAATCGAGCGAAATATATTATATCATATTGAAAATGTTTTTTCATCCGTTTTTTTTTTTGTCGTAAAGACCCGTAAAGTCACCTAATATGCTTTTAGCTGAATTTCACCTTTTCGATGAAATTTTACGATTTTTCTGTATTTCGATATACTTTTTCGATTTTTTGTTTGATGTTCCTTCTACTTTCTAATATTCCGGATCACCATAAAGTTTAGCAGATACATTTTTAATATACAATTTATGGCTTAATTTAAGAGGAAGACGTGTCTAATATACTATTAATTCCCTTTGATATGACTCCAAAAAAAACTCCTACTTATAAAAATTGGTTGAATGAATGCACGAAACTCTGTTGAGACCTTAATAGGTTGCTCCTTGTTTTCATCATCAAATCTTTCATAATTATAAGTAGTTTGATTACTTTTGATTCAATCTGATATAAACTGTACTTATTTACAGTTTATAAATAACTTTTATTTTTTCCAAGCAGGTAATATATTTAAAATTTCTACTAAAATTTGATCAACTCCGACGAATGAAAATGGGATAATAACTAAAATTTGATCAACTCCGGGTAATATATATTTTCAACCGGGGTTGTTTGGCAGTTGCTGAATAGTTTGATGCAGAATAATTTAGTGATTAGAATGATTAAGATTATCTCATGATATAGTGCAAAATGAATTATAATTGTTTGGTAATTGTTTACAAAAAATTAGGGCGTTGAATGGTTAAGGAAGACCCAAGATACAAAATCATTCAGAGAATTTTAGAACCATTAAGAGACATATTGTTTTTACCAAACAAAATTAACCTCTTAACAATTCAGAAACTGCCTCTTAATAGAATTATTAAGAGGTAAACAAACAACCCCAAAAATTTATTCTACATTTTGACCAAAAATATACTTAACTAGACTGTATTATAGAGTAAACTTCAATTTTGGTCCTTAAAGTTTTTATTTCGTTTTGAAAGTGGTATTTTGATCATTAACTTACGTTTATTTTCTGTTAGACGTTTCAATTTTTCCATCAAAATCTTTAATTTTTTAAGTACAAAAGTTGCATCAAAATCGAATCAACTTTTATAATTGTTATTTAAGGGTCTAAATCAAACATTTTATTTATTTACATGTCTGGTTGACCAGTTTACTTGCCAATTATGACATGGCCCATGTGTTTTGCCAACTAAAATTCCATATCATTTTTATGATTATAAAGCGGAGGTGTGAGCGGAGGTGGAGACCTCAGCAACGACGAGAAAGTTGAGGTGTGAGCGGGGCTAGGGGCGGTGATAGAGGGAATGAGAGGGTCAAGATGGAGATGATTAGACTTTAGAGAACCGAGCAGGAGGGAATGATAGAGGCGACGATTTGTTTTAGGGTTTAAGTTATTTATTTATAAACAATAACGATATGGAAATATAATATTCACCTAATATTTTTTTTTTGAATTTATTTCTTTGCCACATCATATCAGATTACTGGTTACCGATTCAACAGGTCAATCAAACCCTTAAATAAACAAAATTTATGATCCAGACCATTAAAAATGATAATTTTAAATGTTGGTTTCCCAAAATAAGAATCAAGTAAAAGTTGATTATATTTTAATACAAATTTCTCTTCAAGAATTAACATAATATTTTGTATTTTATTCTATTATAATATTTCTCTCTCGATTTATATTTTTATTTATTTTTTAATATAAAAGCTAAAATAAAATTTTATATTCCTTTTTAAAGAGAAGATAATAAATTTTGATGAAAAGACCGAAATAACCATCGCTTCAAAGTTAGTAATCAGGTTTTACTTTCAAAGCAAATTAAAAATCATAAGGATGATTTCTACATTTATTAAAGTTCAGGTTCCATTTTTAAACTTTTGGCTAAACCTCAAGGACTAAAATTGAAGTTTATAAATAGACGATCGCTTTGAAAGTATCGGTTATCGATTAATCCTAAAAGTCCGTGAAGTGAAGGAGGAAAGAGTGCATCTCGTGTCTCAAAACGACATCATTTCGCGTGAACCCTCGAAGAATCAAAGAAGACCATATTTGGGGTTCAAATGTTTGTCCACCAACAACAAACCATTCAAAGAAGCAAATCATCCTTTTCAGTACACTCTTTACTCTCTCCCAATAATTCCACCATTAAAAGCGATATCCCAAGCTTTTTCTCTCCCTTGTTTATACCGATCTCTGGTGAACAACAACAACTACTACCCCACTTCTTCAAATTCCATAATTAATCTCCAAAAACCCTTCTAATTCGGGGAGGTTTCTACTTTTCTTTGCAATGAAGATAAGGTGTTCGACTAATTGCATCAATCGTCAATGAGTCGACTCAGACTATTACAGCTCTTAATGGGCATCTCTGTTCTTTACCTTCTCTTCATGACTTTAGAAATCCCTGTTATTTTCAAACCTGGGTTCGGTTTAGTTTACCCAGAGGAAGAACAAGGATATGCCGTTTCCCTTTTACCTCAACCCATCAAAGCTGGCAAAGAGGAAGAAGACGAAGATGATGATTCAGTCGGTGTTTCAGTGAGTCGCCGGAGAACTCGCGACGTAGACGACAAACTCTCTGGTTTAATCTTCGATGACGTTGCTTTTGATGGAATCAAAAAAGACGAATTCTTAGAGCTTCATAAAGTGGCAAGATATGCATTTGTTTTAGGGAAAAAGGTATGGGAAGAGATAGTTAAGTTCAACAGTAATTCCTCGATTGAGACTGAGTCGATAACAACAACTCGTTCGGAGTCAAAGAACGAGTCTTGCCCGAACTCAGTGGCGGTTTCCGGCGAGGAGTTTCAGGAAAAGGGTTTTATGGTGGAGATACCCTGCGGATTAACATTGGGTTCGCACATAACTGTGATCGGAAAACCAAGATGGGGGCATTCGGAAAGGGAGCCAAAGATTCGATTGGTGAAGGAGGGGGATGGGAGTGTGATGATATCGGAGTTCAAGATTGATCTTCAAGGGTTGAAGGCGGTGGATGGGGAGGAGCCACCGCGAATACTGCATTTTAATCCGAGATTAAAAGGGGATTGGAGTGGAAGACCGGTGATAGAGCAGAATACTTGTTATAGGATGCAATGGGGGTCTGCTTTGAGGTGTGAAGGTTGGAAATCAAGGCCTGATGAAGATACTGGTGAGTTGGTTTCTTCCCTTTTTTTCGATATTTAATTTTTAAATTGGATTCTTTTATGCTCATTGATCTTTTATGCTATGAATATAATATAAGAAAATTTATAAATCCATCACATTCGGACGAGTTTCTAGGTACTTTGTGTATTAGGGTTTTTTTGTTAGCAAACTTAATGACTTATAGTTTATTTGGTCAGCTATACATGACTTTTTGATATTGGCTTAATGATATAGAAAATGGCTTATTCAGTAACCTTTTAGGGGAGCTTTGTGCAAAAAGACGAGTTTTTTTTTTTCCAAACCGGTCCTTCGCAGTTTAGAAACATGCTAATTCCATTTATGTAAAAACCCTCCCAAACAAAAACTTCCTAATCTATACAGACAGATTAATCCACACAAACAACTTTATCCATACAGAACTTAATGGAAAACCAACCAAACAGCCCTTGATTGTGGTAAGACCAGTGATAGACTTGATAGAAGGTCATGGGTTTAAAAAAGAACTTGACAGAAGGTCGTTTAACCAGAACCTCGATAGTGAAGTGGGTGCAGATATGATCTTATCCGCATAGTAAACTACATAGGAATATGACCTTAAATGAGTTTTTGATTAAATTCATGACCTCCTGCCTTGTATAAGAAAAAATGGCTTTATACTCATGAGAAGGTTATAGATTTAATTAAAATCTCATTTAAGGTTATAAACCTAAAAATCTCATAGCTTTTCACCATGGTCTTGGTTTGATTTCGACATTATTTAAACTGGTCTTACCTACCATTTGGCCATATGACAACATACCAAACCAAACAAACCCAGTGTATCCCACCCGAAAGTAATGTCAGGGGTGTGGGATGTAGGCATATTGATCCACTATCCCAAATGGTAGAACAGTTGTTTCCCGTCGTGGTCTATTGGTGTAGCTCTTATAAAGACAAGGAATGCTTGCTAAAACCATCGAACTTGTAGATTTCTTTGTCATGATTTTTGGTGTTTTACCTTTGAACGTTGTAAATCTTAACTTCGTTCTTTTTGGTTCGATAATTTTAAACTTCGTTTAGCCTAAATATTCTATTATGTAAATGAAGTTGATGGGCAGGTAAAATGTGAGAAATGGATACGTGATGACGATAACCGATCAGAAGAATCAAAGGCCTTCTGGTGGCTTAACAGATTAATCGGACGGTCCAAGAAGGTTACAGTTGACTGGCCATTTCCTTTCGTAGAAGACAAACTGTTTGTTTTAACACTTAATGCCGGCTTGGAAGGTTATCACGTAAATGTAGATGGAAGACATATAACTTCTTTCCCGTATCGCACCGTAAGTAGTAACGAAAGACGTACGGTTTTAAAAATGTATAATCAATGTATTTTTTTAATCAATTAAATGACCATTTTACCCTTAATAATAGATGGAGTAATGAATATTTCCATCTCATAATTAAGGATAGAATCAGAAACTATGCACTTGTTTTGGGACGGAGGGAGTAACTTGAATTTTGCAAATTAATTTCTTGTGATGTTCATAGGGGTTCACTCTCGAAGATGCAACTGGGTTATCGGTAAAAGGGGATGTCGATGTGCATTCAATAATTGCTGCTTCGTTGCCTACATCAAATCCAAATTTTGCTTCGGTGGGTCATTTGGAGATGTCAACCAGGTGGCGGGCCCCTCTTCTTGGTGACAAACCTGTTTTCTTATTCATCGGCATTCTCTCGGCTGGCAATCACTTTGTCGAGCGAATGGCAGCAAGAAAGTCGTGGATGCAGCATCGCTTGATCAGATCATCAACTGTCGTAGCTCGTTTTTTTGTAGCGTTGGTAAGATGACGGAATCAAAGACCAAGAACTTGCAACTCGAGTTCACTTCTAGTTTTGAGAATTCAAAAAATTGGGTCTCATGGAAACAACCGCTCTACTCCTTGGGGTAGAAGATGGGTCACCTAAGGGGCTGTTTGGTTGGTCTTCCATCTAGTCCTGTATGGATAAACCTGTCTGTGTGGATTAACCTGTCTGTATAGATTATGAAGGTTTTTGTTTGGGAATGTTTTTTCATAGATGGAAGGAGCGTGTTTTTTAATTGAGAGGGTCAGGTTCAGAAAAAAACTATGCTTTATGCATATAGCTCCCCCTTCGAAGCTTATTGAATAAGCTGTTTTCTATATCATTAAGCCACTACCAAACAATCATGTATAGCTGACCAAATAAGTTGCGAGTCTACTTTAAGCTCATTAAGCTGCTAACAAACCAACTCTTAACTCTTGGACCCCACCTTCGGGTGGGATATACCGGGCTGGTTTTGCCAGGTTTTCTTGATTCCTGAAATTTTTCTGTTGTAAATGTACCCTTTTTTGCAGCATGGAAGGAAAGAGGTAAATTTGCAGCTTATAAAAGAGGCCGAGTTTTTTGGCGATATGGTTATCGTGCCTTACATGGATGCTTATGATCTTGTTGTATTGAAGACTGTTGCAATCTGCGAGTATGGGGTAGGTGATGGAATTAATCCATTCAAATTTTGGTTTCGGATAGTTTTTAGCAGGAAGCCCGAAAAAGCCCAGGCCTAGCAAACCCGAGCCTGATTGGGCCAAGTTTTTTTTTAAGAACCCTGGAAAAGCTTGAAAAAGCTGATCGGGCCTATTTTCTCACCCATAGCCTGGTCTTCTTTTTTTACTTACTGAAAATGGGCTTGATGCTTGCACTCTTTGCAGATCAGCATGGTTGCCGCAAGCTATATTATGAAGGGGGATGACGATACGTTTATTAGGGTAGATTCCGTACTCAAAGAAGTAAAGGAAGTTGAAGATTCTGGTAGCGTATACATCGGAAACATGAATTACTATCACAAGCCGTTACGCACGGGTAAATGGGCAGTTACATATAAGGTAGAACTCAATCTTTAATCTCCCTACATATACACACACAACATTTTCTTGCATTTTTCGGAAAGACCATCTCCATGGCTTCATAAGCCTGGGGTTTTCACGGAAAGAGCCGCTCTACTCTTTGGGATAGAGGTTCAGGTCTGCGTACATCACACCTCACTGTCGCAGATCCCACCCTAAGGGCTTGTTTGTTAGCAACTTAATAAGCTTAATGGAACTCGCCGCTTATTTAGTCAACTTACACGACGGTTTGGTAGTGGCTCATTCAGTAAGCTTCTAAGGGAGAGCTTTATGCAGAAAGCTAAGTTTTTTCCAAACATGTCATTTCAATTAAAAACCACGTTCCTTCCATCTGTGAAAAACCCCTCCCAGACAAAAACCTTCCCAATTTATAGACAGATTAATCCACCAGACAACTTTATTCATATAGGATTTAATGAAAAACCAACCAAACCGCCCCTAATTGTTCTTCTGACCCCACCCTGATTCGGATATACTGGGGTCATTTGGTTACTATCTCCATGGTTATGCAAGTCGGGGATCTTCCTAGAAAGAGTTGCTATACTCTCTGGGGTAGAGGTCAGGTTTGCATACATCACACCTTCTAATCCTTGATGTCGCTCTGGATGGGATATACTGGGTTCGTTTGATTGTTCCAACAAAGGGGAAAATTTGACCATAATTTGTATTTTCAGGAGTGGCCAGAAGAACAATATCCAGCCTATGCAAATGGGCCTGGTTATGTTGTCTCATCCAACATTGCAGAGTATGTTGTATCCAAGTTTGAAAGACACCAGCTGAGAGTATGTCCATATGATCTTTGCTTTGCTTTAATGAAAGACTAGTCCCTTTTCCAGAACCAAAATTCCTAAATCCATATCAATGTACAACTTCCAATGCATAATTACGAGTAATTATAACACGCATTGCTCTACATTCAGGAATTGTTGGTCTAAAAAAGGACATTCATAACATCATCTCCAACAGATTCTCTAAAATGGATATTTTGGTGTTCCAACAGATTCTCTAAAACAGAAAAAGGAAGAGAGGGAATTCTTTAAAAAAATTATGTGAGGGGAGAGATGACTTTTTAATTCTTTCCCCCTAATGAGATTGAATGTAATTTTTTTTTTAATGTCTGTTGGGATGATAAATTTATAGGATATTTTAATAATGTAATCATATTGAAATTTCCAAGAAATAGATAACGTGCTGGAGTTTAGTGTAATTCTTTTTAAAAAAAATTACATTTTTAGTATTTTAGAGAAATTATAGAGAATCTGTTCGAGCTAGAAAGTTCAAGTCAAAGTTGTTTATTGCTCTAGATTTGACATTTCAGCTTAGGGGAAGCCTTTTTCGTAAAACCGATCTGGTTTTCACGGAAACAACCTCTCTCCTAGTTCGGGTGGAGGAAAGACCGCCTACATTTTACCTTCTCTAGACCCCACTCTTTGTAGGATTTACTGAGTCCTATGAAAATAGTCTCTCTACTCTTTGGGATGGAGGAAAGGTTGTCTACATCTTAGTGGACCTCAGTCCATGTGTGATTTACTGGGTGGGCTCTTACGAAAATAGCCTTTCTACTCCATGAGGCGGAGGAAAGATTGTCTACATCTTAGTGGACCCCACTTTGTATATAATTTAGTGGTCTTTTATGGAAATAACCTCTCCGCTTTTTGGGCTGGAGACACATTATGTGTGGGATTTACTGGGTTTGTTTGGTTTAGTCTGATATATAATTTTGTTGTTTGTGTGTTGAGCAGCTATTCAAGATGGAAGATGTGAGCATGGGTATGTGGGTGGAGAAATTCAACAAGTCATCGTCTATAGAGGTGAAGTATGTCCATAGTTTTAAGTTCTGTCAGTTCGGATGCGTAGAAGATTATGTAACCGCACATTACCAGTCTCCGAGACAGATGATTTGCTTGTGGAACAAATTGCAGCAAACCGGCAAACCACAATGTTGCGATATGAGATGATGATKATACCTCGTAAATGTGTTGTAGCTGTAGTATTAGATTTAGAGGGAAAAACTAGTTTGTATATAATTATTGTTTTTAACCTTTTTTTCACTTTAATGTTAATGTTTTCAGAGCATGAAAATGAAAGGAGGTGCAAGGGTTTAAACAACTTATGATACGGTAACTTTGCCGTCAAATATGATGCGTTTAGATCATGGTTCTAATAACTCGTTATGGTGTCAGGGCTTGGGTTTGCTACCATGTTAATCCCTATGACTCCACTCTAACACTTGGCTTGCATTGTAACGTGTTATGGCACGCATGACATGTTACGACGCGTTATTTTATAAGGTGTAGGGTATTTTAATGTATAACTTGAGGAATAAATGATGATGATATAAGGTACCTACAACTTAACATAAAATGGAAACTTAAAAACTAAAACCTTAAATAGGTTACATACTCATATTCCCATACACGAAAAGTCAAACACGAATTCTTAGAAAATTTAAAAACACAATGAGTAGAGATTCAAGAAATTCAATCTTGATTTTCCATTTTTGATTTCATTTTTATAAATATATAGCATCAATGGTTCTTCTTTCTTTTTTAATTTTATTATTTTTATATGAATTTAAATATTATTTAAAACACCAATGCACATAAGGGTTGGGATGTGTGTATATATGCCGCCTTAGGAACTTTTATATGAATTTAAATAAAATTTAAAAACACCAATGCACATAAGGGTTGGGATGTGTGTATATATGCCGCCTTAGGAACGACTTGAAAAACGACATGGCTCATAAGGTTTGAGGTTTTATCTCGTCGTCATGTCACACCTCACGCCATTTAAAACCTTAGTTTATATTAGAGTTGTTCATAAACAATACAACCCAAATTAAGAGACCTGCCCGACTTGATTATATTTATATTCTTATAATTAACAATTTATATGCTTAATTAAATTTTACAATCAAAGTTTCATAAGGCCTTTCAATTCCCAATTTACTATATACTTTCTACTCATTGACCTCAAATCATTAAAAAAATTTAGGATATGTTTGGTTGCAAGATTTGAGGGGCTTTAGTAGGATCTACAATTGGATTCCATTAAATCTTGTATGAATAAAGTAGTCTAAATAGATTGAGAAGGTTTTATTTGGGAGGTTGTTTCATACTTGCATAATGAAAAACGTGTTTTTAATTGGAAGCGGCACGTTTGGAAGAAAAAAAAAACTTGGTCTTTCTGCAAAAAAAAACTCCCCTAAAAGCTTATTGAATATGCACTTTCTATATCATAAAGCTACTATCATAAAGTAATATACAGCTGACTGTATAAGCTGCAAGTTCCATTATACTGCCCTTATATCTCAAACCTTTGGGGGAAAAAAGGAGCCTGCCATGGAAGATGTCTGATCATAACCCCGTATCATAAAAATGTAAAGAACCCCATTGAAGCATGCAGAATGACCAAGAGAACACCGCCATTATTCAATGGGGATATATAACAAAGGTCATACCTTTATCCAATTGCTAAACCTACATGAAGATACAATCTCCATTGCAAGATATACGCATCCCAAATACCAAATCTTGTGGAGTTAGCTCAACTGATAATAAGGCTTGGGCTTTTGGGGGTTCTCCTTATGGTCACTGGTTCGAGTCCTGCAAGGTGGAGATTTTCCTAGCCGTTTTCCACGGTCCCTGAGATTAGTCGAGGTACACACAAGCTGACCAGACACCCACGGAAATCCCAAATACCAACCTGAACAACCACCACCAGCCACCAGTTGTGATTGCTAACTACTACCACTATAAAAATTAGTTATCTGGACAATGTTAACATTAAATCATTGACCCACATGGCCACCATCATAATAACCACCCACTGCAGTTCAGCCACCATCACCAAGATACTAACAACCCCACAAGTTAGTTAAAGTCAAAAGAGTTGGTCAGTAAAATAGCCATTTTAGTGAATAGTGACCATTACAAAATAGCTAACTGTTTTATATTTGCTATAAATAGCCACAAAGTTTGCAAAATGGCTTTGTGAGTTCCCTTTTTTTGCGAGATGCACGTTTTGAGCTTATCTACGAATCTTGACTATTTTATTGGGAAAAGTACAAACGGTACTTCTTAAAGTTCGCAAATTTCTTATTTTGCAAGATGACAAGTAACCCTTTTTCTAGTGGGAACCAACCAATGCCTTCACGAACTCTGAGGCTATGTTGTAGCAAACCCGGAAAAGTTGGCTATTTTGTGATGGCCCTTCCTCCAAAATGGCTATTTTTGTGATTAACCCCGCAAGCTAATTGGTCACGGGTTAGGGAGGTTCCTCTCCTGTTCAGAAACTTTCTTCCAAACAAACTCAGTATATATCACTCAAATTGAGGATTTAAGGGTAGGATGTACACGAACTTTACCTCTATCTCAAGAGACTGAGAGGTTGTTTCCAAGAAGACCCCCCCGCTTGTGAAAAGGGTAAATAAAACAAAAAGGAAGATAATACAAAGCCACATATTAGGGGAAACAATGGTTTTTCTAGGACATGATTATAAAAGAATGCAAAGATCCTAACTAAATAAACAGCACACATAATACCTACTGCACTATGCTGTGATATGAAATCCGTTCCATCACTACCATATACTACAACACCTACTGCACATGTAAAGCTAGTAAGAGCAATGGTATAAATGAAGATGCAAGAATTAGTTTTTGGGTATATTTTCACTTGCAAGATCATCAAATATCAGACACTCAAGCTTCACATTTTTGCATAATATTATTAAAATTAAACAACACAACCCGGAAAAGACAACAGTGAACCTCCTGCCAAGAGGTCAAGGTTACTTGCTTATTTCAAGTAGTGCAATTCTATACATGCTTAATAATATCTGGTACATTTCTAATTATAGTAAGGAAGCATGTAAGAATATGTTTATAAATCAGATTACTGTACCAGTATTCAAATCCCAAAATAGTGTATAATTTTACAAGAAACACAGCGTTGTTCCTATTGCAATGATACAAATACTCATTTATGCTTCGTATTTGCTAAATCTTTATGGGCATAAGCAATATGTTATCTTCCAAAAGACACGTGCTTCATGTGTTGGATAAAGAATGGATTTGCAAGTGAAGTAACAATTGTAGTATGGAAGCATGTAAGAATATAAAGCCCATAAATAGTGTACGAATCATACAAGAAACACAGAACTGTCCCCATTCAAATGATACAAACATTCATATATGCTTGGCATTTGCTAAAGCTTTATGGGCATAAGCAGTGTCATTCATGGGTTGGATAAAGAATGGATCTTCTACCTTCTATAACATTTTAACTGAAGTAACAACTGTAGTATGGAAGCATGTAAGAATATGCATATAAAGCCCATTACTGTACCATTATTTGAATCCCAGAAATAGTGTTGAATAATACAAGAAAAACAGCACTGCCCCTATTCAAATGATACAACATTCATATATGCTTGGCATTTGCTAAATCTTTATAGGCATAAGCAATATGTTATCTTCCAAAAGACACGTGGCATTCATGGATTGGATAAAGAATGGATCTTCTACCTTCTATGACATTTTAACTGAAGAAACAACTATCCAGTATACACCGATGCAATGAATGTATAAAACAATACTTTTTAAAACATACCCTTATTTTGCTCCTCTGAGCTTGTAACTTGCTTGTCATTTTCGCTGCTTTCGGTGAAATTTTGCAGTTCAAGCAGTTTTTGTTGCTCCTCATCTTGGTTTTCTTTTGCCTCTACTTCTTTGATGTTGGCAGGCTTTGGCTTCTTGCTAGTGGATTGCTGGTACATGACCCCACCAAACATACAAATCAAAAGCCCGATTGTCCCAATAAACGTCGAGTGTTTATCCCAAATCATCAAATTGATTACCACCGTTAACAGCTTGTTCACTATGCCGAGCACGGTGAAACCAGTAGCAGATATAGCCCTACGACAAGAGAATCCAAAGAAAGAAATCGCTAAACCGAACAAGCAAGATAACCCCACGGGCAAAATTACCCCAAAGGAATACCAATCCGACTCATCTTGCATTTCGTGTTTGATCTTCTTCAGCTCTCCCATTATCAATAGCTCTAACGGAAAAAGTAGTAGAGCTTCAAGATTATTGTACAGCACGAGACCCCAAGTGTTCAACTCGATCGTCATTACCACATGCTTTATGTAAACGAAATCTATCGACATGCTTATTAAGTAGGCCACGGCCCAACTATATGCCATGAACGTAAACTGGTAATCGGTAATGACATAGAGCACGCTACCACCAAATATCGTTGCAAGTGAAAGCCACGTCTTCAGTGAAGGCCACGGTTGGTGGAGGTAGAGTGTTTCTCCTATGGCAACGAAAATTGGGACGGCTGATCGGAAGACGATAAAGGTGTCGACGTTTGCATGGAGGAGGAGCTCGCTATTTGTGAAGAGGGAGAGATAGAATATAATTGCTGCCGGAAGGAAACGCCACATTGTCATCAGATCTAAACGGTCATGTTCTAGAAGCTTGAGGGATCCGAAAAGGAGGACTCCAGCTGCACTCGTGAAATATTGTAAAGCAGTCAAGGCTCCGGGGTAAGGGAATTTCATGACAGCCCATTTATTGATGATGGAGAGTAGTGAGGCTGATAAGCAGTAGCCGGCAGCTATACCGTATACGGAAACTTGCTGAAGAAAAGCACTATGCCATTTTGATGTTGATTCAGGTTCGATGACAGCAGAAGGGAGGACTGAACTTTTTTGCCCATTTTCCACGTCATTGGACATCTAACTCTGCATAGAGACAAGTTGAGGTGTGCGTAACTTCAGTGTAAACCACACCGCAAAGAAAAGATACGAGAGAGAATGACAGTCGAGCAACAATATGTCCCATTGCAGTACAAAACCCTTTCCCCAAATTACAGCCCCTAACCACCACATCAAAATTCAAAATATTTGAATTTTCTTTAATAAATTAAAAGACCCTAGTCCTACATTTTCAACAATATGCCCATGACCACTTACAGGTATCATAATGCTCAACCTTGAAAATGAACTTATTAAACAATTAAAAAGAACATAAATATTGGTCCCCAAGAAAACACAATACATAACTGCTACTGAAATCTATCTGAACAAGTTCCAAATTATAACATGGATGTAGAGCAATAAACATCAAAGAGAACAAATCATCACCTCTTAGCTTGAAACAGAAGTATGAACTAGTGCGTTGATGAGGACTAAAGAGTCATGAACTACCCAACTTAATTATATGGGAAACAATGGCTATTTAAGAAAAGAAGTTAACTTGGTGACTTGGCTTACTCAACACCTACAGAACGATTCATTAGATGTAGTTGCATTAGTCTATTTTGTAACAAGTGTTGGAGTAATAGAGACTTCAATTTGCAACAAAAAGAAAATATATCAAGTTACATATGTAGAGTACCTCTTTTCTATTTGGAATGGCTGGTATGTAGATTGCATATAAGGTGTTTGGTGGTCAGATTGTTTGTTGCCTTGTTGGTCTTATAAACAAAAGTTGAAGACTTCTTTTAGATATTAAGCTTGCAAAAATTGGGGGAAAAACCCATCAATTTCTTCCATCTAAAATTGCATACTTAGGTGGCTTTGAGGTAGGAACCTAGGACAGCAAACTTCTACTTCCAACAGACAAAGGGTGAAACCAGTAAGCCTAGAATGATTGGTTAAACTCTGAGCTCACAACTCACTGCCTACTTTTCTTGAAACCCTAGAGATAACTTATAGCAAGTAAAATGCTATGAGCAACAATTTTTATCAATAAGTAGTTCATATACTTCTGCCAGTAAAATTAATTGATTGAAACATGATGGCATGATAAAAACTACTATAGCAAACACACAAGATTTCCCTGTAAGTTTCAAAACACAAATAAAAACTCATTTATTTCTCCTTTGTAAAATTTCAGATTTAGGCAGCTTCTTAGCTAAGAAAAGTATTTGATTTGCAACAGATACATGTTGACACCAACAAAGATAAGATAGACTATTACCGATTTCGTAACCCTAAAATTTCAGATTAGGTAGCTCCGCACTAGCAACTGCATGCTTCTAATCTCAATAGGTAAGGGGTGAAACTAATGAGCATAAGATGAGATATTACACTCCTAATTCACTCACCAAGTAATTTACTTGCACCGTAAGAAACCTAGTAAACATGCTTAGTGCGGAAAATGCTAGGGAGCAACAATTCCTACAATTTACTTCTGCCGACAACTTAAAAACTATGGCAAGATAAAATTATTATAGCCGCACACACCCCGTAGATCTCTTCTTCCTCAAATTACAGATTTTGATAGTGGTGAGCTGAAAATAGTACACTTAATCTTCCAACGGGCAAGAAACGAGACTAACAAGCATAAAATGGCAAATTACACTCCTATTCCAATCAGTAACCACTTCTCTTGTACTGTAAAACCCTAGAAAACCGTCAAGTAAGTAAAACGCTACGAGAGCAACAAATTCACATAAATGCACAATTCGTATACTTCTGCCGACAAAAAGAATCCATTGAAACACGATCGCATTATAAACTTGCTATTGCAAACACATCAAAAAATGCTCTGCAAAATTCAATGGATCTATACAACATTATACTCGTTTGATCTGTAACAAGAGCTTAAAACAGATCTGTAAATTTGACGAGAGATAAAGATCGAGAGTGACGCTTACGTGTGTATCTAGCGGAGAGTGTGAATTTGGAGAGTGAAGAAAGCAACAGAAAATGGAAGAGATGGATGGGAAAAAGGTAGAAAACGAACGTAATATACAATTACGATTTTAAATAGTTTCGATTTTAGTCCTTATGGTTTGTTAATTTTCATTTTTGTCATTGTAGTTTAAAATTTATAATTTTTGTCCACAAAATTTGTAATTTATTATTATTTTCGTCCTTAACCTTTTTTACTTTTAAATATAAAGGACTAAAACAGTAAAGAGTTGTGAACCACAAGAACCAAGATAGTAATAAATTATAAAAACGAAAATAGAAATAGATTACAAAATCATAGAAACGAAAATCGTAGTTTTTAAACCATAAAGACGGATATCATAATTTTTAACAAATCACATAGATAAAAATATTAATTACCCTTTGATATATAATATTTGTCCCGACTGTATTAGTTACTATTTTTTTATTGTAGCAAAAAATATTGAATGATCTGATACGTAGTTTACAGAGCTGATCATGGGATTCAGTCAGGCTTGGACCAGGCCTAATCTATTTTTTTATTCAATGGGTTTAATATGGTAAATCCAAGCCCCGTTTTACGGACTTAAAAACTTACCTATACATGCCCTATAAACGGGCTGGTTTGTCCACGAGCTAACAAGCTTAAAAATCTTTTTATATTTTTATAAAAACAAAACTTATATAAAATTACAAGTTATGTAGAGTAATTCAAAATACATAACAATTTTCCAATATAAACTTAGAATTTTTTTCGTAAAATATGAAGTATCAATAAAGAAAATGACTAAATAGTATAATAAATAATTGATCAATTGAAGTAATTATATTTTCAAATTTTAGATTTCTAAAGATAAGCATTAAGAATTTTCAATTTCAATTAAAAAAATTAATTATTATAAAAATATTTACGGACCAGGTGGATCTGCCCAAATATTGTTTTTTCATTACCCATGTTAGCCCATTTTAATAAGTCAATCCAGTTTTGCCCATTTTAATAAGTCAATACAGGTCTGCCCATTTCTTGAAAAATGATAATCCAAATTATTTTTTTAAACGGATATGACGGATCTAGTAGGTCATCCCACCTGTGAACAACTCCAGTAGTTTAGCATATCATTAATAAAACTTCTTGTTAATATAGAATTGATAAATTTAAGTATAATTGTTTATATAATTGATAATATGATTATGCTAATTAATTATAATTTTGAAATTAAATTGAAATTGCTAGTTTTTTTATGTTTCAACCTTCGATCTTTTTTTAAGAAAACCAACAAATCTTTGTATTTAAAATCTCAAGGTACGTTTAGTTTACAGGAATGAAATAAAATTAAAAAAAATTTAGATTTAAAATCCATTTAAACCTTAAGTTTGATTTATCAAATTATTAGGATTTGAAATCTCGGGATTTTGTTAAAATCCCTTTGGGTGCGTTTGGTTTATAGGAATGTTTATGAGGGATTTGGATTCCATGGGATTTGGATTCCCAGGATTTAAAATTCATTCATGTGTTTGGTTTGCAGGATTTGGATTTGGATAAGCATCATCCATAAGCACACCAAGAAACAGATATTCATTGAAGGGTGAACTAGGGTATATAGTGAAGACAACTAAAGTATTACGCAATCATCGAACTGTATGTATGACAAAGTTATCACCACCATTACACTAGAATTTTCAACCTAATCTGTCAAAAGTGAAGGATTTTACCTAATCTGTGTTCAAAGTTTAGACAGAAATCGAAAAGGGGAAAAGGGGAAAAACCTGTTGAGTGATGGGAGACAGCGACGGAGACGGTGGGCGACGGAGACGGTAAGCAACGACCACCGACGGAGACGATGATCGACGACGGTGAGCAATCAATGGAGGAGCGATGTAAGCTGTGGGAGAAGATGGAGACGAGATCGACGATGGTGAGCAATCAATGGAGGAGCGATAAGCTGTGGGAGAAGATGGAGACGAGATCGACGATGGTGAGCAATCAATGGAGGAGAAGATGAAATCCCCCGGGGATGAGATTTTAAAATCCCATGTATTTTTAAAGGATTTTGAAATCCATAGTTCACGGAATTTTAAATAAATCATTGGATTTAAAATCCTACCATTCATACAAACCAAACACATGATTGAAATGGATTTCAAATCCAAATCCCCAAATCCATTCCAACCCCGCAAACCAAACTCACCTTTGGGATTTGGAAATCCTGGGCAGGATTTAAAATCCAAATCCTATGCGCTCCCACTTTTCGCTTCCTCCCGCTTCCCTTCGCCTTGCTTCCTTTCTCGTCCTCTCACGCTGCCGCCATAACCTGCCGGTAAATCCCTCCTCCTCACTGGTAATCCCTTCCTGTCCCCTCGTCGGTTCTCCCTTCCCGTCCCCTCGCGAAGCTGCGCCCTAATCGGTCCTCCTCGCCGGTGCTCCATTCCTGTCCCCTCGTGAATCTGCGCCCTAATCTACCCTCCTCGCCGGTGCTCCCTTCCCGTCCCCTCGCAAAGCTGCCTCCCTAATCCGTCGGTAAACCCCTCCTCTTCGCCGCCTTCTCCCATCACTCAGCAGGTAAATCTTCTGGTGGTAACCCTTGTTTTCTTTCTGATAACTGTGTTCAAACTATCGTACCTATGTTATTTTAAGTTGATTGCATCAAGAAACTGATGTATTCATAAGTTTAATCAAGAAACTTATGTATTCATAAGTTTAATTAAAATGAGACTTAGAAATGCTTAATTGATTGACTGCTTGAAGAATTGTTATTTAAGTCTATTATCAACCATGGAGAAAACTGATGCATTTAGTTATATGCATAGACCCATTTGCCTTCTTAAGATGCATTAGGTCATTCAGAGAGCTTAAGTCACTCTTCCATCTTCCATTGTCAACCTCTTTTCCATCTTCCTTTTGTATTTTTCTACACTGCACAACTAGCCTGGTATCTCTTGGTGCAAATGCTTTCTAATTTTGATATAGAATTGGAGACAATGAAAATTCCATAAGAACGCATATGTATTCATAAGTTTTGGTTTTTATCTAGGCTTAAAGGGAGTTTCCATGATCTCCTTGGCAATCATATGATCAGCTGCTTTACTGTTTCAAAGATACACCAGCTATATGACTTACTGCTTACTCTTTCTTAGTTTGCCTTTCCTTTTGGTCAAAGGATTCATAAAAGGTTTTGGAAATAGTAACTCAATTGGTCAAAAGAGGTCTTAAATTTGAGGTAGCATACACTTTGATTGTAGTGGGATAACAGTAATTACATAAGGTAGCTGTCACTTTGATTGTAGTGGGATTAATAGGTTTGTTGGTTAAATAGGTAGTTTTAAGAAAATGAAAAAGATTTGGTGACTAAAATAATTACAAAAGAAGCCAAATCCCTCAGAAACATTCCTGCAAACCAAACGCACCCTTAAGTATGAAGGGTTAAAATAGAAATGAATTACAGGGACGAAAAAACAATAAATTTGAAATTATAAGGATGAAAATAATAATAAATTATAAACTATGAGGACAAAAACAGGAATATTTAGCAAACCATAGGGACTAAAAACGTAATTCACTCTAATCTTGAGAACCCCTAAAAAGAAGCCATCCATTGATGCTACCATAGAAGAGGACCGGAAACAGCACCGCGCCACTGAAGCCGGAGTTTCGTCATATTCCGATACGGTCACCTGTATATGTGTTACTCCCAACTGGATGATTAATATGTTGATGACTCGAATAAAGTTTCAAATGCTCTCCATGTTGGATTAAATACAAAAGGTAATCAGACTACTCAGTTTATACTTGTTCGTGTATCTTTGAGTGCAATGTTGTGGTTTTTTGTGGGTATGTTGATTACATATGTAGTGTCTATGATAGAGGCGACGGGCTTCGTGAGTAGAGAAAATAACTTCAGCATGTGCTTCTGTTCATTGGAGAATTAAACATTCAAACTGTAAGTTAGTAGAAGGAGACAGTGAGCCATGTTAGACTAGATGTTAATTGGGAAAATTATTTCGGCATCTTCTACTTATATCAGCATTTCACAAAGACAAATCAAGGTATTATCATTTAGTATTTCAGCTTGCCCTTCACCTGTCTACCGTGATGGCCTCCAACCATACAACGAAATATCTCCAAGAACAGCCCTTCACCTATCTACTGTGATGCTCTCCAACTGTTTGACAAAATATATCTCCAAGAACAGCTCTTATCCTATCTACGTGATGCCCTCCAACCCGTCCCTCCCAACTGTTTGACGAAATATCTCTAAGAACAGCCTTCACCCATCTGTTGCTACTCCTTCCAACTTTGTGACGAAATGCTTCTGAGAACATTTCAACTTTTGATATTTACATATTGACGAAGGATCGTGTGAGAATAAGAGTTAAGGTGAGAAGTGTACGAAGGGATTTGGACCCTTGATCACTTTTAATCCCAAAACAACCCATAAATTGCGCTTAGAAGGGAATTGATCTAGTGTATCTCATTTGTGTTGATCTAGTGGTTCTCTTCAATTAGGATTGATCCAAGGTGGAGATGCCTTCTTATCCTTCTCACCATAGCTTTTATTCTCACCGGAACCCAACCCTTGCTTATCTGCTTAATCTTGCATGTCCTTGTTGCCTAGAGTCGCACCTGGTCTTGCTTTCACATGCCAAATAGGCACCTGGCCTTCTTACTATTTTGACCTCATTAATATCTGTTCAAAGATGCTATATGTTTTCAGATGCAAATATACTTGATTGTAGCTGAGTTGAACAATTAAAGAGTCGACCTGGGGTGAGTTACACCCTTGAGTAAATTGCCCTGTCCGACAAATGCCACTCTCACAAACACTAGGACAACAATGATATATTATTTGACTAGGGTCTACTAAATTTGAGAACTGGCTAGTAAAGAGTGCAGCTTTGGATTGTTGATACACAACATAGTTCTTGTTATCCTTTCCAAATGAGAATGCATAACTTTTGTTACAATCATGAAAACAGTCAGAAAACGTTGTACCATTCAAAATTGTTTCTTATTGAAGTCATAAACCCAGAAGTAGATAAATTCTTATTTGGATAGGAATCTCCCATTTTTTTGGTGATGTGTAGGATTTTGCAACTAAAAATATTTAGCTCAACTGGAAATTTGGGGACAACATGGCAAGTCTCTTGTTTAGTGGACTAGCACAGGACATTCTTGGTTTGTGTGCGTTTAGATGAAAAAATAGTAGAGGTTCGGTTTGCAGGAATGTCTCAAAGATATGAAATTGACAGAAGTTAGAACTTCAAATTGATTTTTTGTCTTGCATGTAAGCTTAAGGACTCCATCTTTAAACTGGTTATCTGAAATGCATATCTCTTGTAAGGGCTTATATTTCCACTAGCCTGTTTGGCAATGCATCAAGATGCTGTATAGCTAAATTTTGAAATTTGTGGTTTGTAGGAATTATAGGTTTGGTAGCTCATTGGTTATTATTTATTTGTGTATATACTTTTGATTGTTGTGGTATGTAACAATCAGTCCTGGATAACTTGTTTGATAAGAATACAATGACATTAGTCCTAGAACATAATATTGTATTGTTTTACGAACATGGTATGAGCCTTCACCAGGAAGTTCGGTTTTACAGTCAGAATACCTTGCTTTCATGAACAAGCATCTACATTTTTGGTTGTTTTCTACAGAAGACAACTTTAATTGCAGGCTGGCATTATGCTGGGAGTTGATAGGCTTCAACTTAAAACAAGAATCTATCATATGAATATTTGCTAATTCTGGTGTGATTATCATCTTACAGGTGATGTATTGAGGAAGAATCCTTTATGCTTCAGTCCTATATGGAGAAGGGTCATGACAGCATCAAAGATGGAAACAGGGAATGTCATTTGATGCTAAGACATGAAGAGGTGTGCTACCTTTGTCCCAAGATATTGTTGTCAAATATTATATTTACATCCTCAGTTGGTTTCTTCTGTCATTTGTCTCCCATTTGACGTAGTGAATTCTTCATCCCGGAAATTTTCGTCACTTGGTTCAGCTAATGCTAGGAACTTCCCCAATTATTCGCCAAAGAAACCTACTATCAAAGATTCTGAACTTGTCTACAACATCTCCACCACCATTAAGCAACGTCGTCTCGAGCCCATAGAACGTATTCTGAAACCATTTGAATCAAGGCTTAAGCCTGACCACTTTATTTGGGTTCTGATGGACATAAAGAACGAGTACAAGTTAGTCTTGGATTTATTTGACTGGTTGTGCTTACATAGATCCCCATCACTGGAGGTGCGGTGCATTATCATTCATATTTCTGTTGCTGCAAAGGACCCGCAAGTGGCTCATGGACTTATTCATGATTTTTGGAGTAAACCTAATGTAGATGCTAGTCTTCCGTTTGCCCTCTTCATGGAGAAATTGATATACACTTACAAGGATTGGGGTTCTAATCCATATGTCTTTGATATTTTCTTTGAAGTCCTCGTTGAAGTTGGAATACTTGACGGAGCCAAAAAACTATTTTATAAGATGTTAAACTACGGGGTGGTAATATCTGTTGATTCATGCAATTTATTTCTCTCACATCTATCTGAGAATATTTCTGGGTGTAAGACAACACCACATATCTTTACTGAATTTGCTAAAGAGGGTGTTAACTGGAACACTGTGTCACATAATATAATGATTCACTGCCTTTGTCGAATGGGGAAAGTGAAAGAAGCTCATAACTTACTCCTCCAAATGGAGTTGCGTGGGTATGCGTCTGATGCTATTAGTTATAGCACTATGATAAATGGGTACTGTCAGATTGGAGGACATCAAGTAGTTCTGAAACTTATTGAAGAAATGCAAATAAAAGGATTGAAGCCAAACATGTTCACATTTAACAGTGTGATTTTCCTTTTGTGTAAGATTGGCAAAGTGGTGGATGCAGAGAAGGTTCTCAGGGAGATGATATGCCAGAAAATAGTTCCCGATAAGGTGGTGTATACAACACTAATTGATGGTTTCTGCAAAGCAGGGAATGTCACTGCTGCATATAGGCTGCTTGAGGAGATGCATAGTAAGAACATTTTTCCTGATCTCGTGACATATACTGCTCTTATATCTGGTATTTGTCGAACTGGAAAGATATCGGAAGCATACAATCTCTTTCTTGAAATGCGTAGTAGAGAAATGGAACCAGATGAAGTCACTTATACAGTACTTATTGACGGTTACTGCAAGGACGGTCAGATGAAGGAGGCATTTTCACTTCATAATCAGATGGTTCGCATAGGTGTCACTCCAAATGTTGTCACTTATACAGCACTGGTTGATGGGCTATGCAAACAAGGGGAGATAGATACAGCAAATGAACTTCTTCATGAAATGTGTGCAAAGGGTCTTGAATTGAATATATGCACATATAATTCACTTGTTAATGGTCTTTGTAGATCTGGAAATATCGTACAAGCAATAAAGCTAGTGGAAGATATGGAGGTGGCAGGCATTTATCCTGATGCTTTTACATACACAACTCTAATGGATGCTTATTGTAAGTCAGGAGACATGGTTAAGGCTCATGAGCTTCTCCGCCAAATGCTGGATAAAGGACTTGAACCCACGGTTGTTACCTTCAATGTTTTAATGAATGGATTCTGTATGTCAGGGATGCTAGAAGATGGCGAGAGGCTGCTGAAATGGATGTTGGAAAAAGATATCATGCCAAATGCCACCACCTACAATTCGTTAATGAAGCAGTACTGTGTTCGAAATGATATGCATGCAACAACTGAAATCTACAAGGGGATGCTAGGCAAAGGAGTGTCTCCAAATACCAACACCTATGACATACTAATAAGAGGCCACTGCAAAGCAAGGAATATGAAAGAGGCATGGTATTTGCATAAAGAAATGGTAGAGAAGGGGTATGATCTTACAGTAAAAGCTTATAATGCTCTCATAAAGGGTTTTATTAAAAGGAAAAAACACCTGGAGGCCAAAAATTTGTTTGAAGAAATGAGGAAAAAAGGTTTAGTTGCGGATAGAGAATTATACAACTTCTTCATGGATATGAACTATCATGAAGGGAACCTGGATTTGACTCTTGAGCTGTGTGATGAAGCAATAGAGAAAAGGATTGTGGATACGGATGGTGATTGAAATGTGGTTTGACATTCAGGATACCTAGTTCCATTTTGAGGGTCAGAAGTCAAGATTGTTGATTTTCTAACAAATGAATTCCATACCTGGTACATTCTTTCGTATATTATAGGCTTTTTATGATCTTACGTAGTATAATTTAGTAGTGTTTGTTAGGGTGCCTGCTGTTTGTTTCTATTGACAAAAGCAATCTTAACCCTCTATGACAAATTAATTGCGTGAGGAAAATCAGATACCTTTAGGAGGAAGCATATGCAATTAATTTATTTCTGCTTAATTGCTATATTTTTCTAGAGGAATCAATATATATCTTCTCATATGCATCATACATCACAAGAACTATATAAAGATGCTTCCCTTTGTTTTGCAAAGAGTAATGTTATACAAGAAATATATACATATATATGAAGATAATAAACTGACAAAGTATTAGGCACCTAATGGGAGGTCAAAAAAGGCCTCTGTGCATGCCATAATCCTGTAGGAGACGTCTATGGTGAACGATGAGTATTATAGTTTGAGGGTATCTTTGGCAGCAGAATAAAGGACACCTTAGTTAAGGATATAGGCAAGCAAATAAGTAAATGCTAGGTTTTTGACTTTTGTTTGGTCATATTTGAACTACGTTCTCACAGAATATTCAACATGTTTCACTGTTCTTGTACAGAACTTAGAAACATATTTCGGTTCATTGTGGTTCGACTCTCTCAGAACCCACAAAATGTGGAATTACATCATTATTCTTGCTTATTAAAGAACTCCAAACAAAGCACCTAGTTCATTTTCATATCCAAGCTGAATGAAATTATGTATATATATAAAAGCATGGTCCTTGATACTCTTTGTTTCAACACTTACAGCATATGTCCTACCAATACTAGTATCAAAGAGACGTAGAGCACAAACTCCACACATTGGCTAGTGAGGTGAGTGCCACTTGAAGAAGGTGAAGAAGTACGAGGAGTTTCAACTTGTGTTGCATTTTCCTTTGTGCAACTGTAATTACAGCGACTTGGGCGAACTACCCTGTAAACTCCTGTGCTCGCCAAGATATATACGTCTTTCTTGTTATCTTCTCCAAACGAGTATATATAACCCAGAGCAGCCAAGTTAGTGTTTGGTACAGAGTTGCACTCTAATGGAGAATCACGTGCACAGCTGAAAGGGATTGAAGTGGTGGTAAAGTTCCCGCTGTTTGTTGGAGTTTCAGCTGCTGCCCATAAAGCAGTGGCGTACAGATCTGCATACAGGTAACTGAGCATCTTTTTATGGTTAGAATCATTGCCTTTTATTTTCCCAATTAACCATTCAGTTATTGCATCAAAACGTGAATTGTAGGATGAATATATGATACACACACACACACACACACACACACACATATATATATATATATATATATTAACAGTTTTCTAACCTGTTTCAAGTGACTGGAAAACTAGAACAGATTTCTAAAATCTGGGTTGGGTGTATTCTAAAATCTGGGTTGGGTGTATTCTTTTCAAGTATAAATGAGAACTAGAACAGTTTTTAACTGCTCTACTGTTTGGGGTAGAGGTCAGGTCTTAATACACCCACCCCACCCCCAAGCACTCCTCCGGGCGGGACATACTAGGTTTGTTTGTTTTGGTTCTTTAACAAGCTAATGAAAAAGTATGATGTTGCATTTATATTGCAATTTAAAAGAAGGTAGAAATGTTCGTAGGTCCTCGATGATTTACCTGCCATACATGCATGGATCCGTGGTAGAACGATAAAAATACCCGCCTGATATTGCTGCAGAACCCTCCTTTTTGTTTACATCATAGTGGTTATACCCCATTGCTGGAAAGATAAGATCTGTAGTAGTATCAGATCTATTTCCTTTCGAAGATTGTTGAGTGTTAACAGGAAGATGGCCTTCATATATACTCCACCCGTAGTTGCCACCCTTGGTAATAACATCAATCTCTTCATAACGATCCTGATTAATCAAATTGATGCGAGCTTAATGCTGATATCACTACAATAAAGTTTTGCTCTCATCTTTGTAGCAAGGAGATCACATACAACTACTTCAAGAAACAGGAGATTATCGCAACAATATGGAGAAAGTGAAAACTGAAGTCATACGAACCTGACCAACATCTGTACATAGGAAGTAAGAAGACCTTTTTGAATCAAAGCTACAACGCCATGGATTTCTGAGTCCCAACGCCCATATTTCAGGCAACAATTCTTTATCTTCAGAGTAGGGATTGTCAGGAGGAATTGAATAATTTCCCCATAGATTCAGGTCATCCACTTCTTCTGGAAAATTTGTGAGTTATTATTTAAAAGATTATACTTTGCAAATGCTACAGAGCAAGTGAGCAACAGTGCTTAAAGTTCAAAGTAAAACAGAGTTACTTACTAGGTACCGTATCTACATCCACCCTCATGATCTTTCCGAGCAAGGACTTCTTATTTTGAGCAAACCCAAAAGGACCATTTGTGCCTCCACCATCTCCCACCATTATATACAGATAACCGTCAGCTGGCCCGAAAAGAATCTGACCACCATGATTATTTGTAAATGGAAGCCCCATCGTAAAAATCCTTCTCACTTCTGTAGGTTTCCCTTTTGTTGCCTACAAACATATTAGAAACCAATTCAGATCAGCACCTGTCTTGTCTCAGTCTAATGTCGCGCCAAACGTGGGACAAGTTTTTGCTGTCATGGCCCATTCTGCCTCGTGTATCAGACACATGCTGACGGGACTGGCCAGGACTGGACAGGCGAAAATGGGCATGGCATGTGAAAGAATTATGAAGGTTTTAGGGTTTCAATTTGAGATGGGTAGCTTAGTAGTTTACCAATCTTGTCCCATCTCCCTTATTTTTGTTCCATCTATTTTGGCGTGACAGAGAAAAATCATTTTTGTCACCAGTCTTTATGTTTTCTTTTTCTAGTCAACACATTTGATTTATTTCCTCTGTTCAGAATACATGTGCTAAGTGCATTTTACCTTTGTAGGATCCGATGCTGTCCCATTAACTGTGTACTCGGCAACAACATTGTGATACTGGCATGGGTGTTCTTCTCTGCCAGAGCTCGTTATTTTTGAAGGGTCACAACCCACATCAGAATTACAACCACATCTTCCTGAACACGTGGATGACTTCTCTTTGTCACAATTGAACGAAGCAAAGAAACGGCCATTTTCATTAAATGTTGGATGAAATGCGATCCCCATCAACCCAAACACGGTATCAAACTTAACTTGATCTGTTAAATCTACAAAAGGGCTAGATTCATCTAACCCCAATGGTTCTCGAGAACCATGTGAAGGAATAGTTGTGAGCCATATTTTTCCTGGCAGGTCTGAGAAGAAGGCCCTATCCGACCCATCTGGATGAGCCGCCATATTGATATACCCTTTATCCCCAAGCTTCTCAAGACACATGCCTCTTGGTGGAACCGGGATTTGGGTCGAGTTCATCAGTATTGGTCTCCCATTGAAACACACAGTCGTTTCATCTGGTGGACCACCAAATGCAGTACAGAAGTCGTTTCTTGATTGCCAGAGATCGGTAAGCTTAGATGAGGTGTTTTGTGGCAATCCGCCAGCACCTTGTAGTGAAGGGGCAAATGGGGAATTTCGCATGGAGACGTTTTGGCATGTGTCCCATACACTCGTACAGAAACTAATCTCAGATTGTTTCAACAAAGCGGAGTCTACTGATTTAGGAGAGTCACAAAGAACTGGAACCGAACGAGACTGTGATTCAACCGTGAATAGATTTGCCGAGAACTGATCACATGTCTGCAGATTAAATAGTCCCCATGATAAGAGATTTGGTAAGTTCTGTGCTGCATTCTAAATGCAAGCTTTTAGTCTGTCATATTAACAAAACAAAAGCTCCTATTTGAATTTGCTTCTCAATTCAACCGAGAATAGATTTTCCTTTCATTTGATTCCAGTTCATGGTAAACCAAACCAAACCAAACGAAACTAGTATATCCCACCACAAGTGGGGTCCAGGAAGAGTACAAATGTCAGGTCTATGTACATCCATCTGAGGTCTGGGATTAGGGTAGAGGTCAGGTCGGCCTACATCCACCTGAGGTGGGGTTTGGGAAGGGTAAGGGTAAGATATACGCAGACTTGACTTCTACCCCAAATGGTACAAAGGTTGTTTCCATGATTCAAGTTCATGACAAATTGATAACTGAAGCCAGTGTTTCTGTGGTTTGTTGTTATCTCGACCTTGGCTGGGCTCATATAGACACAGTTCTTCTTGGTTAGCGTAACCTCGTAAGCTCAAGCATTGGCTTGGTTCCAGGGATCATATAAACTTGACCATGGCTTTGCTTGTATAAGTAGGTTTGTATGAGCTCTTATGAAAATAAATAAATTTTTGTGGAGAATTACAATTAAAGTCCTGGACCTGGACTAGTTGGCTAAAAAAAATATATTGCCCCAAGCAGCTGATATAAGTTTTCTGCTGAGCTTGAGCCTTGTTAGGCTCTAACTTGGCTTGGAATTGCGATTGCGAAGCTTTTAACCCAGCCTAGGCTGCAAATATGGCAAATGGGGTTGAGGTCGAGTTTCACTCGGTGGTATTAAATAGTTTAGAACTCAAATTGATAATGAGTGTGCTCGAGTTCGGCTCGAGGAAGATTTGGATTCGAATAGCACGAAAACTATCTATCAAAATTGTATTTGATGAAACAAGCTTGAAAACTTGATAGAAATTTGAGCTTCTTTTTGAACTTAAACTCACAATTCAGGGTCGAGCTTGAATTACTAAATATAACAGGGGCTCTCACAATCCAACTTGTCTCATCAGAAAACACATTGCCAAGCAGGAATGATGATGGGTTACAATGGATTGTGTAATTTACAGCTTATAATCACATGTGAATGAGTACAAATCTAGTGTGATAAAGATAAAGCTTGGTATATGATGATGGATTGCAATGAGTTATGGAATTTACAGCTTATAATCACATGTGAATGAGTACAAATCTAATGTGATAAAGATAAGGGTTGGCAAATGATGATGGGTTGCACAATGCATTATGGAATTTACTGCTTATAATCACATGTTGAATGAGTACAAATCTAGATAAAGGTTAGCAAATGATGATGGGTTGCAATGAATTATGGAATTTACAGCTTATTAATCACATATGAATGAAAGCTGTAAAAGATAAACTTACAGCACAAAGAATTGATTTGATAGCAGAAGCACAGTTGGGATCTGAGATATCCATAGCTTCAAACTCTCTTTGGAGTGCTGAATCTTTGGCTGAATCACAACACACCCTTCCCTTATAGGGACAAAATGCCAAACTTCCTTTTCCAATCACAGGTGCCCCTTCACAATCAACACATCACTCATCATAAACCACTGTCTGTTTGCCTGCATATGATATATACATACATATCTATATATATATATACATGTTTGTGTGAGTGTGTAGACAGAGAAGGAGAAACTCACTGAAGTTGGTACACATGGGTAGTGAAGAAGAAGGATAAGGGTACATCATCAGTAGGAGACAAAGCAGGGGAAGAAAGCTGAGAAAAGCTTCCATCTTTCCCAGATATGAACTGACAATCTCTCTCTCTCTCTATATATATGTATATATGCATATATATATATATATATATAATGTTTTTATAATTATGGGTTTATCTTTATCTCCAATTTATTCAAACTTGTGCAGCAGGAGGTTGTGATGCTTTAAAGATGAGGTAATCATGGAGATGAAAACAGACAAAGACTGCCCTAAAAAAGCTGCTACTCACATTTAGTGCTCACTGCTGAATTAAAGAAAGATCTTTCAGCAAATTTAAAACAAAGGTCCACCCTCTCTCCATTGACAATTTAGGCAGAGTTAATGCTAGCAAGGAACCATGGATTGAGACAACAATTATGTGAGATATGATATGATAGGCCCCACCAACTTAACTAATTAATTTTTTTCAAAAAAAAAGTTGATTACTGGTAATTCAAATGATCGTATATGAAACCCTCATTCCTTATTGGCAACCGATCGTATATAAACCCGCATTCCTGAAATTAGTGGAGAGACATACAAACTCGGCCGAACACCACAATTAGAAAAATAAAAATGAATTATTAAGTGAGATATGATATGGTAGGCCCCACCAACTTAACTAATAAATTGTATTCCCTTGTAGTGTTCTTCAAACGTGTTTATTACACTGTCCGTCCCTGTAGTATGTAAAAGCGTGCACTCCAAGTCCTCTCTAACGATCTTTGTTAACCTAGTTAACTTAGAGGGTGTTTTTATCCTTTTACCTTTTTTTTGTCTTCTTCCGGTTAAAAATAAAAAAGTAAATATAAATTAATTTTTTCGTATTATGATTATTATATTACTCATATTTTTTTATTTTGTGAACCCAACTCCCCATCCCCATCTTTCTTCATCCTCAACCCAAATTGATATTGGCTTTCGTGTTCTGTGATGATTCGGATGGTGGAGGCCTGGAGGGCAAAAGAGAAGGGGGTTCACTGGAGAAGGAGAATGGTGGAGGATGTGGCGGATTAGGGTGGGTAGTTCGGTTGTCAGACGATGGTGCTTCACGAGGACGGGGTTACAGATGGGTGCTTCAAGAAGACGATGGTTATGGCTTCCATCTGTTACACCTTTCTGCTTTTTCTTCTCTCCCTACATAAATTAGCATCAGAGTTGGGAGCTTCATCTCAATTGAATGAATCTGGTTGTGGCTGTTTTGTGTTGGGTTTCATCGGAGATGCAAGGTGATGGTCAGAGTTTTGGGAGTTGAATCTCAATCAAACAGATCTGGTTGTGGCTGTTTATGTTGGGTTTCATCTCAACTGACAGGGAAAGCAGGAGGTGGTCGACGTTGATTTCAGGCTATGAGCCTGTATGTGTGTGTATATAATAAATATATGATATATTTTAGTATATATCTTTTAGGAAAAGACAAAAAAGAGGGTAAAGGACGAGATCTTTTTATTCCGTTAGAAGGAGGGACTAAGAGCGTGCATTTTAGCATACCATAGGTACCGGAAATGTAATAAACGCATTTTAAAAACCTTAATCAAACAAACCTCAGATCACAGGGACCAAGAATGTAATTTACTCAAAATTGTTTATATTTACAATACCTTAATCTCAGTGGGTGCATAGTTGGTGATGGGGGGGAGGAATTGCACTCACAAAGTTGTGTAAATCAGAATCTTTGTTGCAAAACTCAAAAAGTTGTTTCTTTTTCAAATTCTTTCTGAATTTTTGTGGAATTGATTTTCGGTTATTTATTGGTCAAATTACTTGAATATTGTTGTACATGTTGAATTGATTATCCAACGTAAGGTTCAAGGTTTTTGTCAAATTATCAAATTATCTTATAATATCTTTTACGAAAATATTATTTCTACTCTTTCAGATAGATGTAAGATTTGCATGCATCTTATGATATGTAGAACCTTATTTCGAACGAGATTTATTACATCTGTTTGGTTTGGTTTATACAAGTATTATTCGGTTTGAACTTCACTCGTCATTTGGTTCATCAACGGCTTGTTCAAGTTAATGCATAGACCACAAGTTTTTTTTTTTAAGTATGTAATATTTATATATGACAAATGTAACAAATAAACTCACACACTCTCCTTACATTTGGTGAGGTTTGAACATCTGACCTTTTAGAAGACCAAAAACTATGATACCGTTAGGCCAAGGCTCTTTGATCACAAGTTTTTATTATAGCGTTGACATTGGTGAAAACACTTTGTTGACTGTTGAGAAAAAAAGATGAATGAAAAGGAAACCATGAAATAAAATCTCAACCACTTTGTCTCCAAAGTCTGCCTTTTCATTGAGTGGGATTAGGAAATGTATTAACTTATCAATCGGTTTTTTATTTTATAAAAAACAAACCTATTTTCACACTTTTTTTTTGGTTTATTTCATTTTTTTTGAGTCAAGGTTTGATTTTTAAGATAACATTATTCTATTTGTTACAAATAATGTTTTATTGCTGCATCAAAACATAAAAATGTTTATTAATCTCGCTAACAATGAAATATTAATGTACTTTAATTTGATTCTTATTTTAGGCAACGTATTTTTAAAACTTCTATTTTGATACATAAGATGTAAAGTTTTAAACATTTAAGTACCCGGGTAACCGGTTGAAGCATTAATAGGTTACCATGTTGATGTGGCGAGTGATGGGATGAAATTGGGTTGAATAACAAATAATCTTATTAATATACGTGTATATATATATATATATATTATTTATTTTCTAAAATTAGTTCTTGATCGGGGTTTGACCAGAAAATAAACCGGGGATGAGATATTAATCTTCGTACCCACCGGAGACCAGGGCCGGGGTCCATTCATAGAAACCGGGCCCAGGTATTAGAAAACTTGCCCCATCCCCGCCCTGTTGCCATGTTTACTAACCAAAAAACATTCCTTTTCCCCAATATATATATATATATATATATATATATATATATAATATTGTCTTATTCCAAAAAATAAAGTCCAAAGGCCTTCATGAAAGCTGCAACAGGATAAGGGATATCCTTTCTTCTCGCTATGTCTGCTTAATACCTTCTATTGAATTGATTGGTTCCATTTCCTTCAAGTTGGCCGTGGGGAAAACAACCTTTGACTCCCCACACCATTGCCCAGTAAATACATTAATTATGTAACCGTTATCATCCAGCACCAGTGGTCTAGTGGTAGAATAGTACCCTGCCACGGTACAGACCCGGGTTCGATTCCCGGCTGGTGCATAGCATTTTTGCTTCTATATTCAAACAGCACTTTTATAGCCCATTAAAAGACATACTCTTATAAACTGAGACATCAAGGGTTCTATGGTGTAGTGGTTAGCACTCTGGACTTTGAATCCAGCGACCTGGGTTCGAATCCCGGTAGGACCTCTTTTTGTAATTTTATTAAATTATATTTTCTTATATTAAATCAACTTTATTTGTTTTTTCCTTTCAAATATATATAATATTTATATACGATAAATACAACAAATAAACTCACACACCCTTCTCATCTATGGTGAGATTTAAACTTCTGATCTCTTTTTGTGTGTTTGTAAACAATTCATGAATTTTCGATTTTTTTTTAACCAACATTTTAAGTCTTTTGGTTTGGTTGTTAAAATAAAAGGAAGTATTCTTATAATGTTTTCAAAAGTTAAAACGGGAGGAGTCAGTATTTTTCGTTCAAGTTTATCTTGACAACCAGAAAACCTAAGTTATTGAAAATAAAATTTAAACTGGAGTTCTGTACATCATTAAGTTGTCTATTTAGGATTCCAACAATCGTTAGATTTAAAGTTTATAAAACCAACAACCATGTGTCGTATCTAAGAACAATAAGTTACTGTGACGAAATTTGACAAGTTAACAAGTTATATCATTATGAAAATAAATCGTTTGACTAATGTTGAACAATCAGATAAAACTCAAGAAATATTGTTTTATCAGTATTTTTTATGCAACATCTTTTAAATGTCATATTCAAGCCTTTTAAAACCCATATTTTATTATAACGACTGATAAGTTTCAACCAATATATTAAAAATGCAATATATGTGGAAAAAAAAATACTAAAAAACAACATCATAAAATTTAAAACCAAAAATTCAAATGTGGATATATATATATATATATATATATATATATATATATATATATATATATTACCATATCTCTACCCCCAACCTACCACATTTATTGCATTAAATTGATCAACATCATGACTTAAATGTCACATATTTTCACTATTTTCACTAAAAAATAAAGTCTTTGGATAAATAAATTATAAAGGTTCCTTCAACTATTTTAATAAAATACAATATTTAATAATAATTTTAAGTTTTTTTTAATAAAATGAGCATCTTAAGACGTTCAAGCATTCAAATAAGGACATTGTCCTTAATAAAAGCGATTATAATGATTGGTCATAGGTAACCACGATGTGACGTGTGTAAACTTAAAAGAAAATAACATGACATAAACAACAGTCATCGAAGATAACATGTGTTACTGATAAATCGTAGATAATCTGACGACGAACAGTATCAACAATCAACTGGTGATTAGGGTCATATCGAAGGAATTTTCCACAACGGTCATGGCTGTGATCTTTTCCCTAGAGAATATGTTAATGTTATTGTTTAGATTTCATGAAGGTTGTTAGCATTCCAGTCACCACTTTGGGAAATAGAGTGTGACATCAACCTATTGAGCACCTCCACCGACTGATCCATCAAAGTCTATGATAAACATAGTTGAAGTAACCATTTGGGTTGTGACGCACTGGTTAAGCCTCATTAGGATGTAGTGGAAAATCTTACCTACCACAGATCGAATTCAGGCACTGCCAAAACCCTTGTGGCCATGGAGGTTCACCTGCGATGACTCCAGACCATTCATGGTCACCCAAAAGATCAATCATTGTACGTAAATTGGCTCGAAAACTCACGGTTACCTTAAAAAAAATTGGTTGAAGATAATCATACATGTATTGGTCGTGGGCTGTAATGGATTAACATGTGCATCCTTTTCTTTAACCAAAGTCACACGTAAGAAAATCCATTTTTAGTATTTTTTTCATAAATACTTGAAAATGGAGATCTCTTTCTAATTTGAGAAAGTTTAAGGGGTCGTTTACCAAACACTTACCCGGTAAGTGCTTATCGGTAAAATTTAACATTATTGTTTACTTACCGGGTAAGATTTTAGTCCACCAAAACGACATTGTATGCAACAATTTACCCGGTAAACGTTTATCGTGGTAAGAGTCGTCGCCCTCACTTACTGGGTAAGACTCTTAGTCTTTGTCTTGTTCTTACCGGGTATGATTCTTAGTCTTTACCATATTCATGCGTTGAGGTAATGTTACTTGACAAACGCTTACCCGGATAAGCGTTTGGTAAACGTCCCCTAAATTGTTGTCCGTCCAAGGAATCTCCAAATTGAGATCATACTTCCGTTTATTGATCTCAAACTATTCAAATAAAACATCAGTTAGTCATAAATACGTCAAATTCTTTATATCGATTTCAATAAACTCTCGGCATCCACTTTCCAAAACACCATTATATGAAAGAAATATACAGAGAGAATAAAACACCACGTGAGAAAAACTCTAGAGAGAGAAAGATAAGATAAGGTGTAAGATAATAAAAGATGTATTTATTGAGGCATTTTTTTATACAGGGGTATATTTTTGGGCAAAAGTTGATTACCAGCAAACCAACCGGTCGCACAAGAGACCCGACTCTAAAGACACCAATGTGAGGGATATTTTTTGGCTCACTCAGCTACTGATTGTATAAAGTCATTATAACCCTTTATCAATTGAGTTATAGACGAGTGGTTAGGACACATTTTCCTTTTCGAATCTTCATATTTCCTACCAAGAACAATTAAAGATAAATCCTAAATCAAATTAACTTTATATAAAATTCAAAATGGAAAACTTTGGGTTTAAATCCCTGATAATAATACCTTACAAAATGGCTAATATTTGGAACAAATATTTCATGCTCGAAATGTAGAAAATGATACAAAACCCGCCAAAAATTACATTGTCGTCTTTCAAAATTTAACATGGTGGAAAACAAGTGCTAAAAAATGGTGCAATTGCAAAGGTATTGCAATCCCTATCCCGTCCTGCATCCCCTCCCC